ATAATAATAACACACACACACACACACACACACGCACGCACGCACGCACGCACGCACGCACGCACGCACGCACGCACGCACGCGCCACGCACGCGCACACGCACACACGCACGCGCACACACACAAAACACAGAAGCTCGTGATAAAATACAAAAAAGATGTGAAAATATATGTAATATATTATTCAAGATAAATAAAAATTATAATTATAGTGTTCTGAAAAGTCTAACAAAATTAGTTAATTAAAGATTCAGCAATTCTTTAATGCAAGAGAAAGTCTCCAGAAAAAATTATGTCATCAAATTATGTCATTACTTTCGAAATAGCGATAATACTAATGAGATAATACTAACAAAATAATTGAATAATAATTGAAAAGGTCAAATATTAAAAACTTTTTTACTAATAATTATCACGCAATAACTTATAATTACAAATAATATGAAAAATAGTTAATCTAAACAATTCATGTTATGAATGAATCAATACTCTCCACAATTAAATTTTAAATTAAAATAAAAAAAATCTATATTTTTAAATATGTAAAATTATTTAAATATGTAAAATATTATCTTGTAAGGAAAATTTAAAATAAGATTATGTACATAAATTATAACATCGCAAAAAAATGAGTGGATTTTATTGACATGATATATATCAAAATCCAAATATAATTATTTATATTTGCTATTAATCATTTATAGTTTTATCTACAAAGAGAATAGAATATACATTGTTTGAAACAACGCTAATCAGTTTAGTAATTAATAGAAGTTAACAAACTATAGGGAAAGAATAGTTTTTGCTAAAATTTTTAAAAATTGGGCCAGAAAATAATTGTTGATCAAAATAATTATATAAAATACTCAAATTGAATGTTAAATTGTCAAAAATATTATAAATTTTGTAATATCATTTTATTCAAACATCATACATAATTATTTTGAATTGTTTAACGAAATTATTTTCATGCTTTGACCAATTTTTTTAAATAATTCAGCAAAATCGGTCTTACCAAGCATTTTTAAAGCTTTAGCAATTTACATCCAGAAATTTTACTATTTCATTATTACATATCTAATAAAATGTTGAAATCTAATTTAAAGTTATATCAATAATAACTTTATTGCCATTTTGCAAAAACATGTGATATTTCCGGATATAAATTTTTGTTGCAAAATGCTTATGTTAGTTAATCTTCTTTATTAACTCTTAAATGTTGTGTATCTTAATAATCTGCACAAAACACAATTTTATATACAGGGTATAACAAAAAGTATTTCAAACGATTATTCACGATCAAATCGATAACACTATCTTATGATTCCTTTGAAACCATACAACTTTTGTCTACAATTTTTTTTTTTTTTTTTAATAAAACTCATGTTTTTCAAAATATTCCAGTGTCCCGAACTTTTGTTACATCCTATATATAAACTAATTGTTACACTAATTGTTGTCCTGTATATAAGCTAAACATTCAGTATTAAGATATATAGATATTTTTATTTTAGGATGTAATAATGCTTGGACTTTGTTTACCAGCATCATGCTCTGTAAATGATATAAGTTTCATTTTGGAAAGGATATTCCATAATAAAGTTTTTTAATTGGTGATATCTATTCTGCGAATTTTGAGCTAATCCAGGTTAAGGATTTAAAAAACGATTATAAATGGCTAATGAATGGTGCGACACCTTTTATTTGGTATGCAATAATAATAATAATAACAACAATATTAATAATAATAATAAATGCATAAATCGCAATTAATCATATAAATACAATAATATACGTATATAGATATTAATTATTTATTAAAATTTTTATCCAAATTTTTATCCAAGAGTGATCTATAAAAAAGTCTGAAAGAATATTGGAGATTTGTCACACTTATTAATCTTGTATTTGTAGCATCATTTTAGTGCTTTCCATCTTTATGGTAATAATCGGAACAATATATGATATATTCATTCATCAGAAGTGTACAAACAAAGAGGATGAAACTAACAATAAGATTAGTAAGTATTATATTAAGAAACATTTCAAATTTGTCTAACTTTAAAAATATACATTTCACGCATTATGATTATATATACATATATTTTAATTTGATGTAATATATTAATTAATTTGATGTGATTGATGACTCATAAACAAATCGATGTTATTATTTATATAAACATTTCCAAAATTAAATCTGTTGCTGATTAATAAAAAATTTTTATTTTTATATTATAACACATTATTAAAGATATTTTAAATTTAGATACAAAAAATGGAACAATCCAAGAAATGGAAATGGAAGGAGTCTCATCTTTGCCGGAAAGTAAACTCGGAATGATATTAATATGTTTTTCTGCTTATACAAATACAAAAGTAATATTTAATACAAAATTACATCCAGATACTCTACCTATTATTCATGGCTTAAGATTTCTAAATATGTGTTGGGTAATTGTTGCCCACTGCGTAATTTACATAATAGATTACTTGGGCAAGTAATTTGAAAATATCTAGTCCGATTCTTGTTCTCCACACATAATAAAAATTGTTTTTCTGTATGCAGACAATAAAGTATGGACAAGTAAAGTCACCTCTAATTTCATCTTTCAAATAGTAACCAATGCAAGCTTATCGGTCGATACTTTTTTTTTTTTGAGTGGATTCTTGATGTCCTATTTTTATCTAAAGGATAAAATGGATAAAAATCGAATGCAACCGCTTACTTTCAGAGCAAAGCTAAATGAATTCCTCATCATGGTAATAAGACGATTTATCCGGTACGTTTTTATCTTGATAAATGAACGAGGCAGCAGTGAAAATACGAAATAAAATAAATATCATAATATCATAAAATATCATAAAAAATAAAATAAATATCATAATATCATAAAATATCATAAAAAATAAATAAAGAAAGACAACATAAAAAACGATGGTGATGAAATTCAACAATGAACTAATATTGAATTTACATATTTGTATATGTAAAATCTTCTGTTTAGACTGACTCCGGCTTACGTAATGACATTATTGATATCGCAATTAAGCTCAACCTGGCTCGACAAAATTTCACCGTTTTATTTATATGAAAGACCGCATGAGAATTGTCCGAAATATTGGTGGAAAAATCTTTTGTATATAAATAATTTTTCCCCTATTAAAAACATGGTACAAACAAAATATTTATTTAATTTAAATTAACATTAAATTAACATTAACAACATTAACAATTAACGATTTAAATTAACATACAAAATTATTTTTAAAAGCGCATACACTCAAACAGTGCGGAATGTTCCGGATGTGCTCAAGATGTTCTAAGATATTTCTCAGGACATCCTGAACACGTTCTGAATGATTTTGAAACATCTTGTGCTGAATATCTGGGCAAATTATTAATATTAACTTTTTTTCCTTTAAAGTGTATGAGTTGGAGTTGGTATTTATCCGCCGATATGCAATTTTTTATAATTGGTCTAGCGCTGTTAATTTTGTCAACAACGTAAGTTAATTATTGTCAACTTTACTAATGTAAACACATATTCAGTACATATATTTGAATAAATAATGAATTTTTTAGATATTTTGTCATAGCTGTCGTTATATTGGTTTCACTTTTAATCGGCTCGATTATTTTCACCGGTTATCTTTCATACATCTACGAATTTATTCCGACGTAAGTAATTAAAATATTTTGCTTATTATAAGATTAATTAAGAAAGCATTCTTCTTATTGTTACAGATTTGATGAAAGAAAGCATTCTTCTTATTGTTACAGATTTGATGAACAGCAAAGACTTGCAGATGTGTTATATTTTCCATCATGGGTTAGAATAAGCCCATATATTATTGGAATTATAATAGGCTACATTTCAATACGATTAAACGGAAAGTTTGTTTTGAAACGGGTAAAAAGTTTGATTTATATAAATCTAATGTATCAAAAAGATAAATAGTTATCTAAATAATCATGGAATACGGTGTGCACCGAAGGTGCCACCGTAAAAAAGCCACTTAAAAGCATTCAAGATAATTTAACAAAGTCGAATTTTTTTCAATTAATACTTTTAATTATTTAATTTATTTTTAATTTAGTCACTATTTAATCTCGTAACGTTTTCTACAAAAATAACGATATCAGAAAATTGATATCATTATAAAAATGTTAATTATTAATAATACCGATATGTGAGTGGACAAAGAATTTAAAAAAAATATCTTGCAAAAGATATTTTAAGATAGTAATCTGATATTATTTACAAGCTATTTGATATTATTTTTAAAAGATTTTAATAAAATTTTGCGAAAGCAATTTTAAAGAAATCTTCTCTCCTCCTAATGCTCTACTGAAATATTATTTATATTAATTTAGTTCTTATTTGTATCACAGTAATTTAATGTAAATTTTAGAGAACTGTAATATTATGTTGGTGCCTTGGTAGTGCTTGTAACCTTAGCATGTTATTTGGCATTTACAAGCGACAGGTACCCATTCTATATTCCACTTTTTATATCGCATTCCACAGAGGCATTTGGGCCATTGGTATAGCATGGATTGTAATAGCATGTCTTACGCAACACGGTGGTTAGTTTATTATTATTATAAATTTATTTATATAATCTATTAATAATACTTTTAATAATCTGTTTTGCATAAAGATTTGCATAAATAATTATTATACAATAAATTCATGTAAGTTTGTAGATATTATATATCTATAAATCTATTTTCCAGATAGCACAAAACATTTGGAATACATTCTGGTTGATTTTGAAATATCTCATCTGCTATCTGAATTAATTTTAACTTACATTTTGAAATGCGTTTTTATTATAATAAATACTGGCATATAATGTAGGATAATAAATAATGTCATATATTTTTAGATCAATGTTATGATTTACATAAGTGTTAAACTAATCGTCAAATCTTTGACTTAATTACAGGTATCATTAACGATATTTTATCATTCAAAGGCTGGGTTCCTTTCAGTAGATTGTCGTATTGCGCTTATCTTATAAATCCTTTCATCATACACTTTTTTCACCTGCAAACTGAAAGATCTGTCCATTTTGAACTCATATCCATGGTAAGTAAACAAGCTAAATTCTGACATTAATTGAAAATTATAACTTGTTGTTGTTAACTCTTTTATTTTTTATTTTTAGATTGTCACGTCCATAGGATTTTTGGGAATCATTTATTTCTGTTCCTATATATTATCCTTACTCGCAGAAACACCGTATTCTTTATTACTGAGAAAAATTATGCAAACTCGCAATAGACTAAAGTACAAGTGGCGTAACAGTGAGAAATTATAATTTCGCAAAATTTGAAAATATCATAATATAATAATAATAATAATAATAATAATAATAAAAGTACATTAATTAATTGCTCGGAGAGATTGTCATGTATAGATAAAATAAAATCAACAATCAACAAATTCGTATCTGATTACATACTTGTAGATTTGTAGAGTTGTCTTTGATTTTAGAATTATAAAATTTAAAAATCTAGTTTATAGATTTATATCAGACAATTATAAGGAAAAAGAATATGTGATTATGAATATGTGATTAATTCATTAAAAAAAACTAAAATAAAACGCATAAATCCAGGTTTGCTATACCAAATATCTGCACAATAAAGAATAGAAGTTAATATTATATTGTTTTATCCAATCAATCTTATCGTATCTCTATGTTTGTTCTTTAATTAAAATTACATAGTTGTTAATTTAAAGTTCTCATGACATTAGGATGCTGTGTGTGTGTGTGTGTGTGTGTGTGTGTGTGTGTGTGTGTGTGTGTGTGTACATATTACCTATGAGGTGATTTGTCTTTTATTTAAATCTGCATTTTTATTATCATTCAAATTTTTGTTAGCTATATGAATATAATATGAATATAATGAATGAATATAATTAAATACAAAAATGCAGCAATAATATACAATATTATTGCCGCATTTGTGATGTATATACACTTATTTATTAAACACCTATACAAGAATAAATTATAAATTTAATATTGCATTATAAATTTTTCAGATATTTATACACTCAAGAAACTTATATCGGTAATCGTAACATAAATTATAAAATTTTACCCAAGGATGAATGTTTTTAACATTATTTTGTCAATAAATCATGTAAAATATAAAGAAATAATGTAATAAATAAAATTGTGTCTTATTTTTCTTCAAAGAAAAAATTGCTGAATAATACGTCTATTAACGATTCTGCAACTATGTTCAATGAAAGGATTTGTTTTCTGAACAAATGGAAAGCCATTATTAATACATGCGTCAACAATTTATTTTTTTTCTAATATAATATACATGTAGCACAAGCATTCATCATGCATAGTAAAAAGATTCCCTGAAACGTTCTCAAATCTTCTAAAGATTTGTTGCGATTCTTGTCATTTTTTAAATTGATACTTTCGGGGCTCTAAAAGTTAACACAAGTCTTCTGAACACAAATATGCAACAGAATTTTATATCAATTATAAATTAAAGTGAAATTTCTTTCTTTTTCACTTTTATATAACTGATCAGATTTACAAATATTTCATTCTTTCAATATCACAACATGTGCGCTTAGCGCAAGGCATTCCTACACTTTACGAGCGCATGCATGAGCTCATAATGTATTTTTTTTCCTAATTTATCTATAAACCATCTATAAACCATCGCTTTTTACAAATGAATAAATCAGAATCAGAAATTTGACAAAAGCAAGTATTTTCGCAAGTACAAATTCTATACATAACTACATGTTGCATTATCATTTAATAAAGCTTAATATAAAAGAGAATTCCGATTTCAGTGCTTGTTACCACTAGCTAGCTGGAGTTCTAATTATATAGAATGCTTAGCATCGTGCTGCTCTCAAAAGATTAAAATATTATAAACTAGAATTAAAATTATATACAGAGAAGACTGAATTTTGCAGTTAAAATAAAACGTAGCAGCTCGGAGCGACGCAAATATTTATATATTTGAAATAGAGATGTAGAACTATGTATTTTTTCAAAGTTGCACATTTAGAATAAATTGAAAACATATACGATGAATAAAAATTGTAAAAAAAAATTATATTTTGTAGATAAACACTACTTGTTATTTAAATATAATGTAAAACTCATATGGCATTTAATAATAATATGCATCAAGTATAGCAAATTATAACAAATTATTACAAATCTTTACAAATCTCTTTTCAACATTTTCACATTATATATACGTTATTTATAATCAATGATTGTCAAGATGATTGAAATTATATATGTAGGTATATATAAATTTAGACTATAGATCCTCTCTATTCTAAAATATCAGCCGTTAAGAATTCAATATACATTAAGAAAATATAAAATATAATGGATGATATTTTTACAAGAATAAAGAGCTGTCATTAAAATATAATAGAGATTGAAGAAGATCACAAAATACAAATATGGCTTCATTGCTCTATTATTCCAAAATAGATGGGTAATCAGTTTCTCGTGATTCTCGAAAAGAATAAAGATATTTAAAGTAAATTGTAACAAGAATTCAACGATGCATATTAAATTAAACATCGGAATTATAATAGCAGATTTCATATTGGATATCAATATATAAAAATAAAATCAATATATATATTATTTTGGCCAATAATTTTTTTCGTTAATTCTTTCGTCTTCATTCATCATATGTCATCGACAAATATTTTAGCGAGATTATTGTTTACACTATTGTGAGCATCAGGTACATCTTTGTCGCATTTCTTCAAATTTTCGTTGTAACTTTCATTAAAATTTTCATGATTTTTATTATAATTTTCATCATATTTTTTGTTAAAATTTTCATCGAGACTGTTATCAACACTTTTACTTGTTGTTGCTTCGACGTTATAATCGTTCATAGATTTGTGTTCCACATTTTTCGATATCAATGTTATATCACGGATGCACTTTCTAATTTCATGCCCGATAGCAGCTGCCAACGGCGGTGGTACCGCATTACCGATTTGCCGATGTTTATCGGTTATTGCACCAAAGAAACGATATGAATCAGAAAAACCTTGAGATCTCGCACATTCCCTTACACTGACAACTCGATTTTGCACTGGATGCAAAACACGACCCTAAAAATCAATTATCATGTTTAAACGACAGACTCGTTCGATTTTTATATTCAAATTAAAAGTTTACTAATAAAATTACGTATTGCATAGAAACATATATAACTTCATAATATTTTAAAGAGATCCTTTGAAAAAATTCTTAATGTATCATTTCAAATTATTGAACTGATATAGTATTTTATAGTTTCATTGACATACCTGTTTACCCATCGGCTCCGGATTGGTGATTGTTGTACTGAAAAATCCATCCCATTCCATTCTTCCATATAAACCCTTCCAATTATTATGTCGGCTTGAAGTATGTGGTAAACACCATGGAATCAAAGTATTAAATTGCTTGTCAGTAGGATCGCATGGATGACCACTACTGCAACTACATACTCCACGAAATGCACCTGTTGAGCTTTTGCCAACTTTCAGATCATCGTGCGTATATTCTCTAAAAAAAAAAAAGAAAAGCAATAAGATTTAAATTTAAGCCAACTAATTATTATAATCAATGAATTTATATAAGACTACTAATTTACAACATATCATAAAGAAAAGACAATAGATAAATAATCGAATGACTTGTACATACAATTTTTTGGAGAAGGTACCATCGCTCAATCGCACTACAATATTTGGCAAATCGCGCCAATCGGAACCATTTGTAGTTGGAATATAACTCATTCGCGCTGCTACAAGCGGAGACATTTCTTTGCATATGTGATCCATCAACATCGACCGATATGGTTTACCTCTCATCTGAAATAAATAAAATCGAATGAGAATCTCACTAATCATTTTCGAATCATTTAACGAGATATTTTTCTACAATAATTATTACAATATTAATTACTTTTCTCTGAAAATGTGTTATCGGTTCACCACCGTAAGGCATTTCCTCTATATTTGACCCGCATTTAATTTCCGGCAAATCATATAAAGCATCTTTTACAGTAATTGTTCTATATGGTGCAGATTCTTTCCAAACATGATTAGCATTATACTGAAATACATATATAATAAATTAATAGAGAAAAAACATGTACATAAATTTCAATTAATATTTAAGTATAAAATAGATGAAAAGCTCATACCTTTTTGTTATCTATCATTACAGTCAATGAGCAACATCGTTTATTGAAAACATGCGTTGGTTCTGGATATTTTGGAAGTATTTCTCCAGGTGCAGCAGCTATGAGTATCATCCTGATAAATTGATAAATTATTATTTTAACAAAATAAACTTTAATATATTCTCAAATAATATTAACAAACCCAATATATAGTGACTTCTAATGTTATTAGATATATTATTAGATTAATATAATGCAAAATGAACTCATAAATAATATTTTGTAATTGTGCAATTAATTTAATAGTTTAAAATAAGAATTGCACATATAAATATACAAATTTTTTAATTTAAGTTTAGATAGATGTATAGAAACAATCAAATTAGATCCATATTCATTCAACATATTAATTATAAATATAAAAACAAACCTTCTTCTTGTTTGTGGTACTCCATAACTTCCAGCTTGAAGGATACCAAAGGTACATTGATAACCCATTCGAATAAGGCATCGTAAAGTCAACTTTAGCACCATACTTTTCTTGCAGAATACAAAGTTTCGTACGTTTTCCATAATGAAAAATTTCGGTCTATAATAATCACAGTAAGCTAAAGTAGTAACAATGAGAGAATTTTTAAATAATGAGTATTGTCGCAAATTAAAGCGATTCATGCCACTGAAACCCTGACAAGGTGGCCCACCGCACAATAATTCAACGTCACCTTTCTGGGGAAGTTTCTGACCGTTATCATCTACATAATCACCCTGAAAAGAAAAAGAAAATTTTACGTATTAAATTATACGAAGAAATAAAACATAACATGATTTTCTTATATAAATAAATATTTTTATATCCTAAAAGAAAAGACTATTAAAAAATGTAACATATTTGTTTTATGTGCAACATTAATTATTTACTAATAATAATAAATTTGTTGCTTTATATATGAATTATTTCAAAAAAGTAATATAACAAACTTACATTCATTACTCTTTGTAACAGCTTGTTGCAATCCTCCGAGAATACTGTAGTTTTTGGATTATTTAAGCGATATGCATTTGCCGCAGGTTTTTCTTTTTCAATTGCCCATAAAGTTTCAGCTACACCTGCTTGATGCATTCCTTCAGATAATCCTATTGATCAAAAGTGATTATAATTAAATTGTGCAAGAAACAAAGAGAAGAAAAAAAAGAAAAGAATATTAATTCTATAATTAGAATTAATTCTG